TATTACTTGGATCCACAATCAACACCCATGGAAGCAGCGGTCAAGAAACCAAATAACATATTGTATTGGGCAAATCTGCTGCAAAAGACCTCTTTAAAATCTAAAAACAAAGATGTTACTTTGAAGACTAAGGTGCACTTGACCCAAGCCATGGTATTTTCAATCACCTCAAGTGCATGTAAAAGTTGGACAATAAATAAGGAAAACTGAAGGATTGATGGCTTTCAATTATGGTGTTGGTGGAGAATGTTGAATGTACCATGGACTGCTAGAAGAAAGAACAAATTTATCTTGGGAGAAGTTCAGCCAGAATGCTCCTTAGAAACGAGGATGGGAGACTTCTCTCTTACTTTGGTCATGTTATCAGGAGGGACCAATCCCTGGAGAAGGACATCATGTTTGGTAGAGGGTCAGGGAAAAAGAAGAAGACCCTCAATGAGATGGACTGACACAGTGGTTGCAATCATTGCACAGTGGGTGCAAACATAGCAAAGATTGTGAGGACGACACAGGACCTGTCAGTGTTTCTCTCTTTTGTACACAGGGTCGCTGAGTCGGAACTTTCTTGACAGCATCTAAGAACAACAACAATATTTGTTGGAACTCTGGTGGCACAGTGGTTAAGCGCTAGGCTGTTAACTTGAACTCATTGGCTCTCTGCGGGAGAAAGATGTGGCAGTCTGCTTCCTTAAAGATTTACAGCCTTGGTAACCCTGTGGGGTAGGAATACACTGGATACCAAAGGTTTTTTTTGTTAGTATTTTTTTCTGAGTACCAAAAAGATGTGGTTTGGTGTATATGACACTTGCTTTTGTGAGCCCTGCAAGCAGATACTCATGGAGTCCTCCCAGACACGGGCTCTTAAAACGTCAAGGAGGGTTTCCCAGTTACATACCCTTTTTGGAAATGCTCCCGCTGGCAAGGTTGTTTCTTAGACTTTAGAGGGCCTGCTGAGCATGTGTGAACAGCGCCGCGCATGCTCCGTGGAGAGGGCAGGTTTACTGAGGCACTAGCAGTGGCTTTTACTACTCTATACCCGCCTCCCCCGCCCAGCTCGTCCCTCTCCCCTTGCTCCCACTTCCCTCCACACAGTCCCCCGCATCCTTCCCCGCCCCTCTTTCCCACCCCCCCTTCAGCCCAAGCAAAGGGAATCTCCGTTGACGGCCGGGTGACGCCAGTGTGCTGCCGCCGTGGGGGGTTCCAGGCGCCGCACAGGTAACGCCGCCACTGCCGCCATATTGACAGAGCAGGGAACGAGGAGGGGGCCTGAGAAGCCGGGTGGGGGGAGTCTCAGCCGTGAGGCAGTCGCGGCGGCGGCAGTGGTGAGCACAAGCCAAGCGATAGCTCGCAGAGAGCCAGGACATAGTTGTCTTCTCTATGGGAAGCAGCAGCCTGCGGCGGCGGGGACCCCCCGTTCCCAGTTTCTGAGGGACCCTGCGGCGAGAGCGGCAGGCGCTGAAGGCCGGGCTGAGGGTCATAGCGGCGGCGGCTGCAGGCAAGCTAAATAGACGGGATGCGCGGCCGCGACGGTGGTCGGCAGCTTCTGCTCAAGTGCTCCTGAAGGGGCGATGCTACCGTTCGCTCCTCAGGACGAGCCCTGGGACCGAGGCATGGAACTGTTTGGCAGCGTCAGCAGCGCGAGCAGAAGCGAGGTTAGTGTGGTGGCTGAGACGGGCTAGAGTCATCCCCCTCCTCAGTGCCCTGGCCGGGGACACAGAAGGGACGTGGGGTTGGGAAGCGGGGTACCAGAGCAAGCCCCTTTCAGACTGCTGGTCAGCTGAAAGCACACTGCCCACTGCACCTTCACTCGGGAATGGGCGGGGACGGGACGGAGGACTTGGTAATGGTTAATGAGTGCTGGTTGTCGGACCAGGCTCGGACTCCGCCTCCGCCTCTGCCTCCGCCTCCGCCTGGGGCATTGCGCCTGCCTCCCAGTCCAAGCTAGAGTTAACTGATTTAAGTTTCTTCACTTTCCCACCGCAAGTGGTATTGAAGGATGCGCCCAGTGCCGCGCCCTAGTCTGTGAGTCCCTCTTTCTCCACTCTGCCATATTTGCTCTCTCGGAATACTTTAGGGAACAGCTGTTGACTCCAGCTCGCTTTTGCATCCCAAGCGTTTTACAAATCCAGCGCAACAAACACGCCTAGGTGACAAAATGACTCTGGCACATCTGTACATAGGAATGCGTGCTCCGAGATAATTTAGCTTTCTCATTTCACTGTGGCTTTTAGCAGTTTTTTGACTTTGAGGATTTCTTGGAGGCCAGGTTTCTTTATCTACATTCAGGTGACCGTTGCCTCCTCTCTGGTCCTTTCAGTTCTACCTCCCCTTCCCCCCTCCCTTTTTCCCTTCCCCAGCCGCTGCCCTCTCCCCTTTGGTACGTGAAAGAAGACCTAAAAGTACACTCCAGCCATTTCTTTATAATTCCAGTCTTTGGCAAGATTTAGCAAGGTTCATCCAAATTCTTTTGGTTTGCTTCTCTTCTCGCTTGCTCTTCTTATTTCTGAAAAAAACTGTTCTGGTTGAGTTTTGGTCAGCTGGGCAGTGAGAACTTACATGTGTACAGGGAAACTTTTTTATTGTTGCGTTTGTTGTTATAGAAGAGGGCGGCAATTAAACAGGAACACATTTCTTTTGTGATAGAAAGTTGGATGTTGTTGTTGTTGTTGTTATGTGCCGTCGAGTCGGCCCCGACTCATAGTGACCCCTCCTTGGGTTTCCGAGGCAGTATCACTACGGAAGTAGGATTGCCCAACCTTCCTTCCGAGGAGTGGCTGGTGGGTTTGAACCGCCAGCCCTCTGGATAGCAGTCAAGTGCTTTTAGCCACTATGCTACCAGAGCTCCGCTTTTCATAATTTAATCCAATGACAACCAACTACTCCAGTAGAGGGCACCATACACCTCTTAAATAGTTGGTGAATGACAAATTGCATCACAGCATATTTTGAGGTGAGATGCAGAGTCTCAGACAGCTCATGGTGCAACTTTATCTTCAAGAACTTGCTTCATTAAAAAAAAAAAAACGCAACCACATTTTGGACTATCATCTGTTTACTTCGTCTCTTTTTTCCCCTCTTTCTTTTATAATTTCCAATTAAACTGGGGTTATGATGGCATACTAGAATAACATTTAAGAAGAAATGTAGTGGAAATAAATTCAGAAGTAGCTTAAAGTTGAGCCCTCTGTACTTCCTTGAAATTTTTTTAAATTTAATTAAGCAATTCAGAAATACGTTTTAATATTCTACTTTTCTAAGAAGAGGATACATGAAGAGGAACTGGTTCTTCTTGGAAAATGGGCAAGTTTTAGGAATTTTCTAATAAGTCTATTCAAAAGGACAGGAGTTTTATTTTATTTCTGTAATCTATTGATTTATAGTCACAGACATTGAGTTTATAAGAACTGTTAAATGTTTTATATAAGAATGGGAAGGGAGATGCATACTTACTATTTCATTCATTTTTGTTAACCTGTGAGTTTAAGTATGTTTTTAATTGTAATTACCACAGATGATTTTCTTGTTTATTTGTTTGAAGTATGTTTTCGATATTGTGAAGATTTAACAATAGGTCTCTCTACCTCAGCAATTTGGAAAATCACTCAAGTAGAAATTGTTAATCCCTATGAAGTGGAAGGAAAGATAATGCTATTGTGAATATGTTGTTTTTCCCTTCTTGGTCTGAAACAGTTAGGTTTAGTTAGATTTAACCCAGTAAAGGACTTAAATATATCCTAGGTGAAAACCAAATGCTGCATATGAACAGGTCTATTTAGTACTTAAAAGTTTTTCTATTTAAAGGTATTCTTTTGATAAGAAGGAAACAATTTTGAGGATTGTATGGTTTGTCAGTCCCTTGGACTAATTATTTCCATGCGTCTTTGGTTTTCTTCATTTTTCTTTGCTCTGGATGAGGAGAGACCCATCGTGGCATCTGGATGACAGCTTGCTAGCTTTTAAGATCCCAGTTGCTACTTGGCAAAGTAGGATGTAGAACAATGTTTTTGTGTAGTATGCTATGCCAATTGAACTTGATGTCCCCTCTGACCATGGTCCTGAGCCCAGAGGTCCAATTACTCACTTGCTCTGGGTAGCTGGATGTAGCAGCCAAGTCTTTTAATCACTGCGTCGCCAGAGTTCACTTGATTTAACCTGTCTCTGTACATTTTAAATAGATCGTGTTCTGTGTGTTTTTGTGTGTATACATTCTGTTATGCTTTGCTTCATCTCACAAAGTATATGACATGCTAGCCAATAATAAACTATTTTGATAATCAGGATAAAGGAAAACAAGTTAAAAGTAGGACGTGTATGGAAAAGATGGAGTTTAGGGTCTAAGGGTGTAAGTTTAGGGTGTAAGTTTAGGGTCTAAGGGTCTACTATGCATTTAAAATATAGTTGAATTGTAAATTTGGCTTTGTGTTTCCTCTGTGCAGTAGTTGTCAACTCTGGCTATATATTATAATTACCTAGGAGTTTTTAAAAATTATCCATGTCAGTGCCTGACTCACAGAGATTCATATTTAATTGGTCTGGAGGTGGCCTGGGCATCATTCCTCAGATGATTCTGATATACAGCCAGATTAAAGAGCCACAGCTTTATTCCAAAATAAGAAGATAATAGTCATATAGTTCTCATTATGCAACAAGAAAAATATGAAATCAATTCCTAAGTTAGCAATTCACCCTAAAAGACATTTTCTGTGAAGTGTAGTCATTTTCTTTGTGTTTTATTCTGTTGTTCTTGTTTTACTATATGATTGGGGCAAACGGGATATTTGAGCTGTTATTATATGCTCTTGCTGTTAGTTTTGATGAATTTGTTTTTCCTTAAGAGTGAAAGCAAAGTGTTAGTACTCTAGCAGATTTCTATATAGTTTAGCTTTATAATTAGGAGGTTAAATCATCTGTATACCTTATCATTAGCTGAGTAAGGGGATAGTGACTGTTTTAAATAATAAAAATGCAAATACAGAAAATTCAAAGGCACTGATAATTATCATTACTATAGGACACCTCTGTGTCTTCTTTAAAGTAGTTGGGGACAGACTTACAAGAAACACAGTTGTTTTGATACCCAAAGTAAATATTTTGCCCTAAAATACATTGTAATCAATTCCATTTTACATGTATCTAAATTTAAGGGAGAAAGAGATCTGACACATACTGAGCTTGTTCTATGTAGTACACCCTGCTAGATGCTCACATAGATTATCTCATTCAGATTTATTCACAGCTCAATAAGACAGGTATGCCATTTTAACTGATGAGGAAGAGACAATACAAATAAGTAGAAGCACATCTGGAATTTAAACCTAGATCATCTTAGTTTATGCTTTTGCCTATATACATTGATGTATTCTCCATAAGGGTAATGTTAAAGAATGAGAGGATATAGACAAACTGTTGGCAGTGATATGGCAATAACTATTCAAAATAAAGGTCAACAAAGTCCCAGCAGTGTATTTTTTGTTTTGGTAGATGTAGACAAGTTTATTCTAAAATTTATATTAAAGGATCAGGACCTCGACTATTTAAAACTACTTATTTTGAAAAAGAAGAGTAAAGTGGAAGGAATCACTCTACCTGATGTTAAGACTTGCTGTATAATTATAGTAATAAACACAGCATGATACCAATTGAGGGATAGACACATATATTAGTGGAACAGAAAATATAACCCAGAAATATACCTACACAAATATGCCCAGCTAAAAAAAGCAAAATAAAGGTCAAGATCGCTCTAAAATCTGAGGATTTTTAGGGGCAAATTTGCCTTCTCTTTCAAAAGAGACTTAAATTTTAGTTTTTTACTTCCTTATTGAGGATTCTAGGAAAATTATTATGGAAAATATTTTGACCATTCTCAGTTACTCAGCTTAAATTAGTCATTATGGTATGAGGGAAAATAAGATCTTTATACTTCTACCAGAATACTAGTTGTATGAGAGGTAAGATTTATGGGTTTATTGAAATACTCAGCATATAGGGAGTAGGGATAAAACTTCAGAAAATACAGGGAAAAAACTCAATATGACCAAAAATTTGGACTGAATATTAGCTTTCAGGTGACCTTTTTTCCCCTGAAATGTAGCATCATGAGAGAATCTTAGGCTATATGGTAAAAAAAATAATAATAATAAAAAAAAAATAACCAAACTTTAAGTAAGGAAAATGCCTTTTGGTCTGATTTGATACATTTTTATTGAATTCATTCATGCAATGCAGGTCTGATTTGATACATTTTTATTACATTCATTCATGATTGTTTACCTGGAGCAGATGTACTGATAAATGAATGCTGTTAGAAACAATGCCAATTGAAACTTACGTGGACATATGCAGAAAACCACATATTAGTTATATAGATATGTATTGGAGCTCTGGTGGCGTAGTGCCTAAGGCATTTAATTGCTAACCAGAAGGATGGTGGTTCAAACCCATGAGCCACTCCTTGGAAGGAAGATTGGGCAATCTACCATAGAGATACCACCTCAAAAACCCAAGGAGGGATAGCTATGAGTCAGGCCCGACTCAGCAGCAGTGATTTTTTTTTTTTTTTTTTTGGTGAGATGTGTATTGGAATGACCAAAACCAAAAACCAAACCCACTGCCATTGGATCTGACTAATAGCGACCCCTCCTTGGATTTC